CGTTGCGTCCTTTATCCATCAAATGTTTAGTAATCTCGCTTTACTTCCTTTTAAGCACGAATTATGGGGAATATAGTCCAGAAACTTTGTAGATACTCATTTTTCAGTCCTTCCTATGTGCTTGCTTCTACAAGCGCATGTAACTTCGTAAATACATTGGAGGCGACCTCATAAGGGTATTGATCTACATTTGAATGATTTAAGAAGCATCTTTCATCATAAACTGAAAATAGATGAGCTTCAGCGAAGCTATTGTTTAGCGTTACTTTAATCCTTTTGTCGATCCTTCCTGAAATCTCTCCACCTTTAAATGCAAGACGGACAAATACAGGTTTTCTGTCAACTGCTGTTTACTTAGGATTTTTCACAATCGTTTTTCCGTGCTTCATGATATCCGTTTTTTATAAGGCACTTTTCAGTGTATGCCATTTCGTCCTGTATTTTGTAGGTTGAGCACAACAACAATAATAGTAATAATACACAACCATATGATTAAAGACAACGAAGAAAGGTTATAAATACGTTGATCAAAATAAGCCACTCAATAGTTAAGATTACTATTGATTAATTGGCCCTAGGGTTGGCCACGGAAACAGAAGCGATTGAAGATAATTATTTTGTATACATAGCACTGGTCTTTGGTACAGGTTACTGGCCCGATAAATAATTGAGAGAAGTTGAGAAGTTATAATGGTACTATGACTAGTTTAAACTAAATGGATCAATATTAAGCTGTTTACTTTCTTCAGTAGACTTTCTTAGCCATACAGGGAAGTGTTCTTAGGCATAAAAATGTAAATCGATAAGACTCCGACCAATATATTTTACTCTACAAAAGAAGTCATAATAGTAGTTCAATATTATGTCAAATCATTTTGTCAAAATAAATCAGTGAACTCATTTGAATTAGGTATCTGCATCTTCTCATTAATTTTGTAGGTGTCATTATGATGGTTTGAATTGGTAATTTCAAATAAATTGAGTATTAGGTAGATTGTGTAGGGCCAGTGAAATTCCACTGAGCCCTAGCCAAATCATCCGGCAGCTGGGTCATTGAATATCAAACAAATCATCGATCCTCGTCAAGGTCAAGGACAACCAACGCGCATCAGTTAATCGTACGCCATGCGCTGGACCATGCGGCAGTGGTCTTACCTTCGCTTGTATTTACTTTAACTAATATATTTCTCTAATAACGTCCTTTGTGTTTTACAGTCTTCAAAGCATCTATAGTACCTTGATACGTCAATAGGGTAATCCACGTAAGGTGCTGACCGCGAGGTATGACTTCGACGTTAGCTAGTTTGTCACACCATTCCTGTCTAACTCGAGTAGGCCTCCAATCATTTCGACATAGATCATCTACGTTGATGATCTACAATCGTTATTAATAAAAACAATGCATTTTTAATATCCACATGAGTAGAAAAATTAGGCTTTTAACCTTTCTGACGTTTAGTGATTCAATGTTAGTCACTTCTTTATTTATTCTCTGAAGAAGCGGCTTACACTAAGTTACGAAACGTCGGGAAATTTGAACATTTTGTTTTTATACTCATTTGGATATTACAAATGTATTACTATTTATTAATTTCCTATTAAAGTTTAGGACTGTAGTCGATCGGTCTTTTTTAAGCATATGTTCATCATGTGTGAATCTCCTTGACATTACCATTAATTTACAGATCTGAACCTTTAAAATAGATACTAAATTATAGCTCAAATGATAACGGTCTATTAATGAACATTAGGGTGAATAGATTTCATCATTTTTCGAAAGATATACATGTTAATTTGTTAAAATTTTCGTAAGGTATATATGGTACAAACTTGTATTACATACAAAGAAGGATAGTCGCTAACAATGGAAACCTATATTGAGGCAATACACACAGTATGTACCTATGCCAATAAGAAACTAATCAATTGCAGTCCTAAACACCAATGGAACATAAAATCCCTTTATTTATCATTGAACCAATTCAAATAGCTAGTGATAAGGAAACTTCTTAATTACGTCTATGTGTTAATCACGTCTTGTATTAGTTTTAAAGACACAAAATCCAATTAGTTATCATTGAACCAATTAAAATATATAGTGATAAGTGATACTACTTATATATATTTAAGTAGTTATCAGTCATTCTTCATTTTTTAAAATCTAATATATGAAAACAAGTTTATTATTACAGCTCTTGTTTTCCACGTTTCAAAGTAGATGAGTTTATTACGAAAGTATGCAATTGATTAACAATTACAGATATTACACTATCAGATTGATTGGTACTGTAAACTAACAATAGATATATAATAGTTGGCAATCATATTTTAAGTATACAAATTATCTACCTTATGAAATTGCCCCAAATAATGTAATCACAACTATCAATTCAAAGGTGTAATATGTTTACTAAGTCATTGAATGTTTATAGCTTTCTGGTGATTACTTTTATGTCATTAAAGTTTTATATATAAACTGATTTGTTTATTATTTTTAACTTCAATGAAGTATTCCAGTAAGCAAAATAATGATTTAATATTTGGATAGGAGTTTGATTGGTTTGAATTATGAAATGTGAGATACAAAGCTCATCTACTGACTTGTTTTAAGATAACAGGATAGACAGACATCTTCTATTGCGAAAAGTTTGATTGAAATTGGTCATGAGGTTGACATCAAGTAAGCAAAAGCCTTCAAAGTTTATTGAAGCTTTGGCTATACGGAAATTGAAACTCCCTTTGTGCGTTCAAAAACAGTTTGTCCTTACCCTTAACCTACCCTGATAATACTAATTTATTATCCAGAGTAGTATTCACATTCTTTTGAGTACTTTATTATTATTTCTTTTCCTATGTTACGGCTTACCTTTAATCTGTTTAGTTGACCTTTTAATTTTCATGTACAGGAGCATTTAATCAATTTTAGACACATCGCTTCAAAGGATTCTTATTTTAAAGTGATCTACAGAGTCAAAGGAATTGGATCGAAGTGGTGTCGAATCAATATTTTATGCACTGCTGAGGCACTGGCGATTGCCCAAACTCTCAGTGCAGAAACGATTTGTCCAACCTCTCATCCTTCCTTGAATCTAATTCCCTGAATATAAAAATGTCTTAACAAGTATATGTGTGATCAGATTGTTCGGAATGTATTGCGCAAATATATCACACAGTCTATCAGATTAATTCTAAAAATGGCAATAGAAACAGTTTATAAAATTTAGGGTACAATAATTGTTTTTTTTTAATACTCCCAGTTTGTGGATATAAACTTGTCCTATCTGCATGGTCGTTGTTTAAACTATCTTTAGAATTCCTTGGAAATCACGGAAACTAGCTTCCTGGTCTTTTAACGATTTTCTAAAATCATGTTGGTAAAAATTCACCCGGATAGTAAATCAGTGATTGAAAATTTAAACACCACATACATTCCAAGTTTTTACCGACACTAGAACTTGGGCCTTAGATAGACAATAGTTACTGATATTATATTCCTCTCATTATCTCCTTACTTACGTGAAATACATAAATCAATACATTTAATTCCTTACTCCTAAGAGTTTCAGTCTGATTAAGCAATAACTGGGGTGAAACTAGAAGTTGCAGATCAGGTACTGAAGCACTGATAAACTGGACTGGATATTAACTCTTTGAACCGCTTTATGCTCAGAATTTTCTTTCTGCTACTGTATAAGATTATCTATACTGTGTTTACCAACTATTAAATAGACAATAATCATATTCCGTTTACGAATATGTGCATATATTCTAAGCGAACGAAAGTTTGAGTTTAATTTTCATTAAAAACTGTCGTCAGTTAAAAAATAAGGAGAATTGGATAGCGGTTTCCTCACGTTTAAAACTATTTACACAGTACGCACCCATTAGATCTGGTCAGCGTTTTTTAGCACTATGGAAACTTCCTCGAAACTATAGTGTGCCTGAGAAGATCGTCATTATCATAGGGAGTTGATACGATGCACTACACTACAAAGTCGTGCATAGAGGACAGCTGACAGATGCATTGGAAATGAGAACGGAGTGAAACAAGGCTGACTGCTCTCTTCTGTTACCTTTCTTCTGGTGATTGACTAGATGACAATGGACAGTTCGGAATCAACCAGACGATTTAGGCTTTGTAGATGACCTGTCTCTTCTATTTCATACACACTAACAAATGCAGATGAAGACAACTAGTGTAGCCTCTGCATCAGTAGTCCTCGACATACACAAAGGGAAATGATATATCCCCAGATGTAACTCGGAGACATGTCAACCCAATCACAACCACACTTGATGGAGAAGCTCTGGAAGATGTGGAATGTTTCATGAACCTGGTGGTCAGCTGCATCATCGATGAACAGGGAGAATCGGATGCAGACGTAAAGGAGAGGATTGGCAAAGCAAGGACCACATTCCTACGATTGAACAAACAACATATGCAAATCAAAACAACTGTCTTTTCAACCAATATCAAAGTCGCAATCTTCAATACGAACGTCAACACAGTCAGTTCTACTTTATGGAGATGAAACTTCCACAACTACCACATTCATCATCAAAAGGATACCAGTATTTACAAACGGTTGTCGACGCGAGGTACTCAATGTCCGTTGTTGACCGGACTCAAACGTGACTCAAACCCAGTACCGTTCGCTACAAACGGGATTGCGTTATCCACTTAGCTAATGAATCCTGTTTAATAAGCTTGTAACTTAAGGCTATATCGAGGAAACTCGCACAGGATACACACATACCAACATGAGGCTGATCAATTTCAGTCCTAAATAACAGTGGAAGGATACAAGTAAAACAACATCAATTGAATAGAATCGAATAATTCTCAATTTTTTACTTTATAACCTTGTTATACATTTCTATGTATCCCTAGAATAAAACAAGTTAACTATTTCCGACCATTCTCTCCAACTGATATTGATCATTAATAAACGCTACATCTTTTCATTGTATACCAACTACACAAAAGCAATAACAACAACCAAAAACAAAAAAATTTATTGAATTTATTACTTCTAAATGTTTTGTAATTTATAGTGTCCACTACTATTTATAATAAAGTAATATAATGTAAACTAAATCAAAAAGCGGTTCAGTAATATTTATCATCACTTCTGACCACCACCACCCCAAAAAAAATTAATCTTGATCTATCATAGACCAATCTTCTAAATCTGCAATCTTATTCCTCTTTTCAGTTAAAAGTGAATAATCAACTTTTACTTGATTATTATTTATTTTATGTGAGAGTAATTTAATTGAAGGTTTCCATTCAATTGATCTATCGATGTTATTGATGATGAATTGATCAATATTTTCACTCCTATTTAATTGATCTGATATTTCTGGATTTATTAAATCAATTTGCCTAATTGATGGTTTATTGTTTTTATTTATGGAATTATTAGAATTTTGTAAATTAGCCTAGAAATAATTAGAAGAAAAAAAATAGACATGAAAATAAAGCGAATTTGTGAAATTTTACATTTGGCAATATTCATATTGAATTACTTACTTACTTACTTTCTCCTATTTCTTCGAATAGAGCATAGGCCTTTGAACAGCATTCGCCAACCCATTTTGTCCTGGGCCTTCCTTACTAGTTCTATTTAATTGTTGTTCATTCTCCTCATGTCTGTCTTCATTTCTCAAATTAATGTGCTCTTTGATGTTCCTCTTCTCATTTGGCCTTGATGACTTCATGTGAGGGATCGCCTTGTGATGCAGTTCGACGCTTTACCCAATGTGTATCCCAACCACATCCAATGCTTATTCCTGATTCCGTCCTCTACTGGAATCTGGTTTGTTCTCTCCCATAGTAGGTTGTTGCTGATAGTGTCTGGTCAACGGATTCGAAGTATTTTGTGTAGACAATTATTATTAAGCACCTGTATCTTTTGGATGATGGCTTTCATGGTTTTCCAGGTTTCGGCCCCATACAGTAGAACTATCTTGACATTTGTATTGAAAATTCTGACTTTGGTGTTGGTTGACAGTTGTTTTGAGTTCCAGATGTTCTTCAGTTGTAAATATGCTTCTTTTGCTTTGTCGATCCGCACCTTCACATCTGCATCAGATCCAGTGTGTTCATCAATGATGCTGCCCAGATACGTAAAGGTGTTTACATCTTCCAAATCTTAAACGTCAAGTGTGATTTGATTATTGAATGTTGTATGGTGTCGGATAATCTTGCATTCCTTTTGTCTATGTTGAGACCTACTGCTGCTGAGGCTGCTGCTACACTGGTCATCTCCTGAATTTGTTGTTGCGTTTGCGATAGAAGAGTCAGATCATCTGCGAAGTCTAGATAGTGAAACTCCATCCTAGATGACTACTTTATCCCGTGCTTCCCTTCAAATTTTGACGTCTTCATGATCCAGTCGATCACCAGAAGATTCATATTGAATGATAAGTATCAAATAAATAAATGATGAAATTAAATCCACTTGTTATTATTTACTTGTATCTTCTTATTGTTGTTCAGGATTACAATCGATTAGTCTTTTGTTGGCATATGTGTATTCTTTGATGATTGTCTTGATATTGTCTTAAGTCTCAGGTATGTTCAGCTAATTAGTCCCAAATAGGATGAAATGTATGTCAAACTGGATTCCACTGCTGGCCATTATCCATCTTTGCTTAGAATGCTTGTGAATTAAGTCAATATCGAGGCCATCCATACAGTATGCATATATACAAATGAGAGACTGATCAAATGCAGTCCTAAACATTAATGGGAAGATATAAGTAAAAAATACTAAGTGAATCGAAACTTCACTCCATTGCACAAGCTAGTGGTTGTTACGATTCAGTAGCTAAGTGGATGTGACGGCTTTTAAAACAAATGGTACTAGGTTATAGTCCCAGAATGAAAATTATGTCTGGGATGCATGTATATTCAGCTAATGAGTCTAAGATAGGACTAAAAGCACACCCTGTATTCCACTGATAGTCATTATCCATATTTACTTATAAATGATGAGATTGTTTCCCTTGTAATTTATTCAATAACAAAAAAAGTATACACAATAAGGGAGTGATGGTAAACTAGTTTATGAAGTTGTGAATCTTCATCGACTGAGGTGGTTGGGCCACGTATTGCGCATGCCTAAACACCGATTACCACGACGCGCAATGATAACCGGTGTTGGGGATGATTGGAAGAAAGTTAGGGGCGGCCAAACCAAAACGTGGCATCTGTGCTTGAAGTTACTAACTTCTGGTCTGAGCCATGTTGTAAGATGCAGACTATTTGGTTGGCGTCCGCGTGATTATCGTAACCAATGGTTGGAGACTCTTGGTGATATGGCTCAGAATCGATCACAATGGCGTAGGTTGTTACACTCTCTATCTTCCCTTAAACTATGAGATTAAAATTATTTCATATCTTTATTTCTACGAACTAATTCTCTCTTCCTGTACTATGTTCTTATATGCAATCTTTCCTTTACACATTACACCATTGAGTTAATTGCTTCTATGAATTTGGTGTTCATCTTGCTGCGCTAATGAGGTGTGGCAACTTGAACCGATGAACATATGTACCTGGTCCTACGTTGTAGCTAACTGACTGACGATACACAATAAGAGTCAATAATCAATAGTTTTCATGGTAACGTCTTAGTTCATAATATGAACTCAATCATAGACGCTTAATGTTTTATACATTATTCAACAAAATAACTATCAACCGAAGTTAAACACTTTATTATATGAAAAGCGTCTATATAAGATTGTCAAGAAACGTGTTAAATTACAAACTACCTCCATTTTGAAGGTAAATGTTATTGATTTAACGTATATTTATGCAATCGATTTGATAAATTCATGGAAGATAGATCCCTGGATTAAAAGCAAATATTCCGTTTCATGTCATCTTTACATTTAGAAAGAATAATTATGCTATACTAAATCATCTTCATTGATTTTCATAATCTCATTTGTTAGAATATATTTCAAAATTCATATGAATAAAATGAACTGCATAGTTACTGACAAATGTCCCATAATAAACGCGATAACATGTTTATATAGATGTAGCAATGCTATGGTTGAACTTGATAGTTTCAAATAAATTGAATATTAGATAGAATGTTTATAAGAAACATTCTTTTTGTTATGTTCTGACGTTTCATGACTTAATGTAAACTATGACGAGATTATAATTTGTAGACGAATCAATCAGATTTAAGATATTATGGTCAAGGATTTTGGTGTCAAATTCATTCATCCATTTGGTTAAATAGCATTTTGTCATTTTAGCTCATGTCAGTTTGTGATGATAAATCATAAATCTTTTTCTTAACCATCAATCATAATCCTTATTGTTCAACTTGCTTTATATAATCCTCATTATTTAGGTAGACACTCTCAAGTTTAATTTGTCATCGTTCAAATGTCATCTCATCTAAGCTAAGAGTAAATAAATAAGCGAAATTAAATGAATACATATTTAAATAGTATAAAGGAAATATTCTGTATTGCTTTCCTTTGTACTATTTAAACGTGTGTTAATTTCGGTTATTTATTTATTTGTTTATTTACTCTGAAGAAGTAGCTTACATTAAGAGACGAAACATCATCAGAAATATAATTTTCCTACTAAATAAGATATAACAAATATATATTACAGTAATACATTGTTAGATATAGAAATTCTTCTTAAACAAAACTATCATAAGAACTTCATTCATTTACATTTTGTTCAATAACATTATCTAATTCATTAACTTCAACCGGAATATTTTGAATAAATAATTGTTGATTAGTGAATGATACATCTTTTTTCATATTAACTGGAACCAATGGTGAACTAAGAGTAGAACTGATCATGGGATTATTATTATTATTATTATTATTATTATTGATCGGATTTGAATCTCCAGTTTGTATTGGAATTGTTGATGAATATTGTTGTTGTTGCTGTGGCTGTTCCTGTTGTTGTTGGTGCTGCTGTTGTTGATTGTTTACAACTGTATTTAATAATGAAGGATTTTTTAATAAATCATCTTTTCTTAATGTAGAATAATCAAAATTATTTAATATAATTCTTTGAGGTTTTGGTGTGATTTGTGCATATGGAATATAAATTTGACCAGATTTATCTACAAGCCAATCACCAATATCATATACAGTTCGAACTGTATTATTGGGGAATTTCTGAAACTTGTTACAAAAAAAAGTATATTGCTTGAAGAAAAAATAAAATTTCAATAGTTAAGATCATGAGTCAATTGAAGCTAGATCACCATGGGAAAAACCGAAAGAATTGGACGGTTATTTCGTCCTATTGTGGGACTCCTTAGCATTACTCATCCACGATCCCGCCTCGCGAGATTCGAACCGTGGACCTATCGGTTTCGCTCGGACGCTTAAACTAACGTCAACCAATCCACGAAATTTTGCGAGCATTTTCGATTGTACTGAGGTAGATATCTGTTTCTACCCGACACGGATCAGCTCCACTGGTCGAGGTTGGTTGAGGTTAGACATTAATACCATTGGATGCCAGCCGGCTCAGTGGTCCAGGGGTTAATCGTTCGTGCGCGAGACTGATGGGTCCTGAGTTGGAATCCCGTGGGCGGGATCGTGGATACTTACTGCTAAAGAGTCCCATACTAGGACGAAACGGCAGCCCAGTGCTTCCAGGTTTTCCATAGTGGTCTAGCTTCAATTGACTCATGATCTCAACCATTGAAATTACTATAATATCCACAAAACCCTTCTGAAAAGAAATTACGTGGTTATTATTGTGGCACGGGTTATTTATATCCACATTAGTATATAACGGTGGTCAGGCATAGAATGTATTTCAGCAGAGAATCGATAAGGAAACAACGGAAAGGGAGTGCGATTGCTATGAAAATGCATGAACATTGAAATCTGAGACAACGGACTGATATTTTGCAAAATGAAACGGTCAAGTTTGAGACGATGGATTGACATTTTACAAATTAACTATTTACTATATGGTTCTCAGATTTTAGTGAGATGTTGTGTAATTTCATGTCAAATACATTCAATGGTCCCCACTCGTGTTCTTATTCACAACAATATTACTTTATTAGTACCCCAATCAAATCATTAGGCTGTTTAATTCTCTAATCAAGCAAAGGTCCCCAATAGTTTTTTTTACAAGAATAAATATTTTTACTGATTAATTATTAACATGAATTACATAATGTACTAATTTGCTTTTAAGCAACCGATGGTTAGAGATCTTGAATGACATGGCTCAAAATCGTTTGCAATTTTGCAGGTGCATCCACCCTTCGTGTTCTCCCAAATTCTAATCTTCTGAATTCTTCATGTCCCTTTCCTTTTTTCTCTTTCCAAAATTATTATACTGGATTATACTCCTTGAATAACATCTTCAAACCATAATGTTTCTGATTATTGCTTATACTCTTACTACCTCTACCACTACGGGATTTAAATCGACATCTACATCTCTGTGCTAATGTGGTATGGCAGCTCGATGTACGTACATACCAAGTTCTGTGTTGTTACTTACTGACTGAATTTGCTTTTTAAAAAAGCACTAATAACCTATCACTAGTAAAAGTACTTCAAAAACTTCCCTAATTATCTATTTTCTTTGGAAAAACAATTAGGGTATTATTTCATTGGAATATATTCATGAAACAGATAAATATGATGAATAAATATAATTGAAGCAGAATTTATTACAACTTAGCATATTGTAGTGTCTAGTTGTTGGAGAGAACTAGAATATTCCACGACAAAAACCCATGAAGGGGTTTTGAAAACACTTGGAAACATTTTATCCATTCAGCATTTAATAGAAACTTCTCAGAAACATCTAGAAAGTGAAAGATCGCCTGTTACATTTCTGATTGGATAATTGCCTATCCTGTTACTATGTTTAGTAGGATTCCAGAACGTTCAATAAACCCAAGAATATCTGAAACACTATAAATGCCCTCGCTTTTCTTTACAAAAAACTAGCATTTGGAGTAAAGTGTTCTTTCCATATTCCACGCCTTTCCTCTCATGTTAAAGTTGTGGTGAAGAGTTAGCGTGGGGTAATTAGAAGAGCCTAGACAATTGATTCAAAGGTTCAGTCAGAAGATTTATCACTGGTATTCTGTCAAACCCACATAGGTTATTCTACCTTCCGGATAGACACATTTTGAGTCACATTTTGACCGTCTCACTTATTCACTAGTTAACCTTGACTGTTTTTATATGAGCGTACTTGTGTCCATTGCTTAATCTATTCATCCATCATATATCTTTAGCTTATTTTCATATAGTTATAAATATTGAGTTATTGCTTTATCAAAATGACTTGGCATGTTTACCTTCTTCGTATCGCTTTCCTAATTTTCAATTTTAATGCTTGTCTGAAATAAATTCATCTAACTTAACCGCTAAAGTGGTGACCCCCAAAATAATTCTGTTCTGAGACTTGATTACTCTGTAATCAATAGTTCAATCATTATTGTTAAGTAACATAAAGTCAACTGTAATCAGGAAATTAGGAAAATAAACAAGAAAAGTATTTACTGTAGTTTGTTTTCTTTTCTCATTATCACTTGGTTGACTATTGGTTGTTGTATAAATTGAATTATGAACTTCATCGTAAATAAATTCCATCGATGAACCATTATTATTATTATTATTATTATTATTATTATTATTATTATTATTATTATTATTATTATTATTATTATTATTATTATTAGGATTAGGATTAGGATTAGGATTAATCAATGAATTATGTATTGGATACTTGGGATAAAATGAATTTTGTGGTAAAACTGAATATTGTTGCGTATATTGTAATTCATTTTGATGTAGAGTAGGATAATTAGTAATAGGTGATGTTGGGATAGAATTTGATTTATGATAAACAAATGGTGAATGATTATTATGCATCATTGTCATCATGTTAATTGGTTCACTCCATTGTTCATTTGTAATTGGGATTGTTGTAGTTACTATGGTAGATAATTTAACTGTAACTTTTGGCGTTTCTGGTGGACTAACATGTTGAATATAATTTAGCCTAGTTTTTGGTGATAATTTTCTAGGTTGATCTATACAGAGTAGTTGATCAAGACAGTTATTTCTTGAATGACCGATATGAAGATTTTCTTGAAAAAAAGGTATAAACAAAAACGATATCATCGATAGTAGTTGATAAATGATGAGTGATAAGCAATATTGTATTTCACGGAGAGACTATAATTTATGGACGAACCAATGAGGTTTAAGGTAACTGGTGTTGGATTTTGGCACGAAATTCATTCATCCATTTGGTTAAATAGTGTTTTTGGCATTTTAGCTGATGTCGGTTGGTGACGAAAACTCTAAATCTAGTTTGTAACCCTAACCATCAACCGTAAATCATAATTGTAATTTCTCACATTGGTTTATAACGCTCATTTAATACTAGTAAGTGGGCTTTTTCAGGGTCATTTTAGAGTCATTCAAATGTCCTTCATAAATTATATTCTCACCTATTTCTCTAGTACCTAATTCAATCTAAGATCTAGTTGAATTACTTCTAAATTGTGGAACAGTTCTCCCAATTTTATTTGGTTGGTGATAAACGACGGAAAAACATGTCTGTCGTCAGTGTTTTTAGTCTCATAAACTAATATATTTACACAATAATCCTGTATATCATTGTTCAGTTAATAATATGTACATCAACTTACTCAAATAATTTTTCACAGTAAAACATCGTACAAAAAAGAATATATTGAAAGCAATCGAAACACCAACAAGTCCAATAATTAGTTGTATCAGATTAGGAGAAATATCTGGAAGTAACAAAGATAAACAAAATATAACTAAATAAACAATTGATTGAGAACATGAACCGATTGATGTTAGACCACTATTGAAAACCTGAAATCACTGAATGTTCGTTTCGTCCTATTGTGGGACTTCTCAGTAGTGTGTATGCACGATCCCACCTCGCGAGATTCGAACCCAGGGTCTTCAGTCTCGCGCGCGAACGCTTAATCCCTAGACCACTGTGCCAGCAGGCATCCAACAGTGTCAATGTCTAACCTCCACCAACCTCGACCAGTAGAGCGGCCATCTTCTATTTTAATTAGGTTGATACCTGATTCTACCCTATAAGGAAGGCCGTGGGGTCGAGTCCTGCTAACGGGATCGTGGATACGCACTGCTGAGGAGTCCCACGATAGGATGAAACTGCCGTTCAGTGCTTCCAGGTTACCAATGGTGGTCTAACATTAATCTGTTCATGATCTCAATCAAAAACTTAATAATCTCCACAATCCTATACTGATTGATCATAAAACTAAATTCCTTATTTCTTTATAAATCTTTTTGAAGTTCTCAAGTTAATTTAGACTATTTGTTTCTTTGTTACTAATTTTTGAAACTTCATAAACCATTTCGTCAAAGTGTAGTGGAAAGAACACAATGTAAATCCCTCCACAGCATTTTATTGAACAGCATTTTCATTTATTTGTTTTTTCTTCTTGTCTTGTATTTTAACACTTATTTAGATCTCTCTTAATTGCAGTTTATGTTCTTTAATCTTCCTCGTCTGAGATTTTATTATTTGTCTTTAGTTAAAGACTGGTCTTCGGTTACTTAATTTTACTGCTGCATGTTGCCGAAGTATTGACATTAAAGTAGTATTTGACCAAACTCAAGGTCACGGCGTGGTTCAGTGCATGACTGTTAACTTTTGACTCTCTGTTTGAGAAGGTTACTAGAATCCTTGCAGACAGATATCAGACACCATATTGTTGGGAATAATTGATTGATTCTCAGGTATTGAACCATTGTGTATTAACTATATCTTTCGTTAAAGATGGGTGGTGGTTAGTAAAGGAATCTAGGACGCTCATTTCGTCCTATTTGAGACTCGTTAGCTGGATGTATCTGCTTCCTAGACTTGATGTTCACTCCGGGACTCAAACCCAGCACCGTTCATTTCAAACGCCATCACGTTGAAATTAGACATTAACACAGTTGGATGCTGACTCAGTAGTCTAATGGTTAAGCGCTCGAGCGCGAGACTGACACGTCTTGGGTTCGAATCTCGCGGGCGGGGGCGGGATCGTAGATGCGCACTACTGAGGAGTCCCATACTAGGACAAGACGGCCGTCCAGTGCTCCCAGGTTTTCCATAGTGGTCTAGCTTCAATTGACTCATGATTTCAACTATTGAAATTTCATACTCTTTGTTGTTGTTGTTGTTGTTCGATTGCATTATTGATCAAAGCAAACGTCATTATTCTAATAGGCGTGAAGCTAACTCTTAATTAGTGAACTTAATAATCACGGATTCGATCGAGTGACAATATGAACTTATACAAACAATTGCCTCCTAATCTGTTCATCATCAACCCCATTATCTTAAGTAAATAAATATACATGTTTAACAATAAAACTTACCTATTGGAGTTGTAATATCTATAACTGTATCATGTTTATTAACTGTTTTCGTATTTGCTAGATTATTTTTATTAATTGTATTGGTTAACTTTTGTTGAATATTATATGAATCTAATTCAACAGAATTAGATCGTTTACCACGAAATGTACACCACCATTGTCCTTTCTCGTTAATAGCATTTAAATGTATTAAATATTCAATTTGTATATGATCATTTGACATAGATCGATAAATGCATTTAGGAATAGCCAGTGTTACTGCATCATCACAAATTGTCGATGCTATTTATCATCATTGTAATAAGAATAAGTAAGAATAAGAAATGACAGAAGTTGAACATTTGAATATTGTTAAGGACATATGAGAGGATGAACACTGGTGAGTTGAAAGCAATCAACAGAAAACTTTGGATTTAGATTTTGTGCGAATCAACATATTTCAGTAAAGGAGTATCAGTAATCATGAGGAACCTGGTGTTAGAGTGTACATCATCATGAAGAATCACTTTACGAGACTAATACAACTTGATTATTTTAGCCACGGCTAGCCTGAATAAGCCTAAATGTTAGGCAGTCCAAAAAGAACAGGGAAAATCCTTGGCCTAAGTTCCGCATTAGCTGTCATTCATTACCAAGATGTACCTAAGACCTTGGGGAAACTGATATTACAAGTGAGCTTTTCAGTCCGTGACTGACTTTTAAGACTAAAGTATTTACAACTGATCGATTACAGAGTAGTGTCCAGTGTTTCTCTAGTCCTTTTTAGAGATGGTCGTGTTCTATCAATCAATTTACAACGTGACCACTAGTCTAAGTGACTCGATATTAACAAAAGTCTTGAGAAATATCTGAATTCATGAGTCGATTAAAGCTAGACCACTATAGAAAACCTGGAAGCACTGGATGGCTGTTCCGTCTAGCTTGTGGGATCATGGATGTGCACTGCTGAGTCTCATACTAGGACGAAACGGCCATTCAGTGCTCCCAGGTTTTTCATGGTGGTTTAACTTTAATGGACTCATGAATTCAATTATTAAATTGCTACAGTCTCCACAAAATTATTATTCTGAAAATATGATCATTTGTATATGTATATTTCCTTTGCTAACAGCACAAACGTATAAATCTCCACAAATTTTAAGACATTTAATAAAGTTAGATTTAACCTGAGTGACTAATTAAACTTCAAATCAATCACTGCCTTAGGATTCCCAAGAAACTTGACCTTCTAAAGTTATGGTGGTCAGAGGAACTACTAAGAAGCTAAAGAATTATGAATGATTGGACATCATAGGGTATTCAAGCTTAGAAGTAAACCTGTTAATTTCACCTTTCTCGAAGAAAGATGCTTAAGATGTTACACCGGATTTTAAGGCAACATATCTTTATCAAATAAATAATAATATATTTTTAATATCATAATGAGTAGAAAAATTAAATTTTCTGACGTTTCGTGATTCTGTGTAGGCCACTTCTTCAAAGAACAAATAATCAACTTAAACTAACCCAAGTTTAAATACTTCAAAGGAACAAAGTAAGAATATTATATGTGATTAATCCAAAACATGTCTGACCAAGTCAATGTTATATCATTCTAGTCAAGGTGATTCATATGAGACATGTTCATATATTTGTGTGAGTAGATGTTTGGTAAGGGGGTGAACAAATGTGACATTAGTGGTGCGAAAGTATAGATAAAATCAAGGCCTAACTACTTATCCAACTGGACTGTTTTTTCATATAACCACATTTGACCCTATTGATTTTACACACAATCTTCACACACACACAGACCCAATTTCAACTCCACTACTTCATATATTTTTCATACCCACCGTCTGACGCACAAATTAATACGGTTATATGTAGCATAGAATCACCTTGACCAAAAATAAAACGACATTGACATGTTCAGACCTATTATTTTTTTGATTGTTTCATTTGTACTATGTAAACTTGTATTGATTTTATTTCAGTTATTTATTTATATACTCTATAGAAGTGACTCAATGTAAGTCACTAAACGTCAGAAATACAATTTTCTACTCATTGGAATATCACAAAACTATATCAATTAACATGTTCTAGGTGTCCAGTCTTCTTAACGCTATCTATTTGTGGTTTTGTGATATGGGGATTTGGGGTGACACACTTTTTCTCTAGACTCTACTTGGATCATAATGGTAAAAGGTTTGCTATACTTACGGTATTGAGTGAATGAATGATAATTAAGATAGTGCTTTTTGTGAAATTGCAAAACTCGAACGACGTTTAGGTTTATTGAATATTTCACTGTTTTAGCATTGAATCTTTCTATACCTTCTTAGATGAAACTAGGAAGTAATCCTATGAATGTAAGACTGGGTGGGAATTCCATTATTAAGTTTAGATGTAATTTGATCCTGTTCCTAGGAATTTCGATAGAATTCCTGCCCATAATGAAACTTTATTGCCTCAAAAAGAAAATACATTTCGACAGATATGTTTATATCAGTGTGGTAGGTATGTATCAAGAAGTAATGAAATGAAAAGTGGTGTTGTACCTCATACTAGACCGATTGAAGAAGAAACCTACCAACCGCGGAATTCTCAGACATCATTAAGTTATAGTGGCAAAATTGCTATACAACGACCTTGACCAATGTATGAGACAATCAGAAGACACTGCTTAGTTATACACAATTAATAATAAAAAGCAGTAAAATTACAGTGGAGTAATGGTTTTGAGATGGCTAATTAACAAACACATGTTTGGTTATTCATTATAGTAAATGAGTGAGGTCAAGCTTAGATATTGTGAGTTGAGCTGCTGTTGTGATTTGGGGTTAAAACCTCATAGGGTTTCAGTCACCAGTTGACATCAGCTATAATTCATGACAGTTTGGGTTGGGTAATAAGAATTAAGTTAGAGTTATATGTTAGTATAACGAATCAGTATGATGAGACTACAATTTATGAACGTTCTGTAAGCAATACTAACGTAGAATTGAGAAGAATCAACCACTTACGAGGGTCAAGGGATAGTTATAAATGAGTGAGAGGAATGAGGATTAGGATTTGAAGTTAGAAGTTAGGGTTTTCATCACAGACTAACATCATCTGTAATGGGATGATAGGCAAAACGATAAATCATGAACGAACCAATCCGATCTAGAATAGTTTTGGATTTTGGCGCAAAATCCACTCATCCATATTGGCTAAATATCATTTTATCGTATTAGTTAGTGTCAGTTCATAGTGAAGACCCTAACTCTAACGTCCATTATAGATCCTAATCCTAATTCCTCACATTAATCGATAACCCTGTTTTAACCCTAGTAAGTAAGTGGAGATTCTCAAGGTCACATAGGGATCTATCGAGGGTCATCCATAAATCCTAGATTTATGTACTAAAGTTTTAAATAATATATTTTATCTTAAACCCGGCCACTTTTTTCGACTATTAATTTAAATATATAATAGTAGAACCTGAAAAGAAATTATTGAAAATATTCATTACTCATTAACTGTTGTTATCTGTGTTTTATAGATCATAAGTCACATTTAACTCCGCCTGGAGTCCCTCCGGGGGCTACTGCCGGTCGGAAGCCTGGATAAAGGGGAAGGGTTGGGCAGGGGTTTAGCGATTCCATCCCGTAGAAAACTAACTGTATAAAAAACGCTAACCAGAAAAATTATTCAAGTAAGTCACATTTAGTTAACTATATACCTGTTAATCTGTATTATACCACAAATGACTGAGTTATGCACAAGTCGTAGTTTTCTACTTGTGTGTATTACAGTTGTGTAGCTCAAGCCTTTTTGTGACTTAAGCTTTCGATACATGAATATAAGAAAATAAACTAGCCTCAACTACTCGTGTTCTGATCGGACAAGTTGATCACAAAAAGAATTTTCATGGTCTAATAAGTTTCAGCACCGTGGAGGGCTAACTGTTTCAGTAATCATTAGTATTATTGGAGTAAAATGGATCCATTAGTGGACTCAATACTTTAGCGATCTCCTAAGCGGGCATATTAAAATTGCATATATAATTAAAACGACATAGATCACTAGTATTGTTTGGTTCTCTGTGTGATTATTATTGGTATAGTTTTATGATGAAAACCACTAGCTTATTAAAGTGACCAGTGGAGTTCAACCGGGTCTGTTGTGAGATAGTAACTCCCTGATGACAATCGAGGATGTGTCGTTCAATTTCGTGGATTACTTGAAGTTAGACATTAACACCGTTTGATACCGGCCGGCTCAGTGGTCTAGTGGTTAAACGTTCGCGCGCGAGACTGGATTGTGGATGCACACTGCTAAGGAGTCCCATACTGGGATGAAACCACCGTTCAATGCTTCCAGGTTTTCCATGGTGGTCTAGCTTCAATTGACAACTTTTAATCTATGAAAATATATTAAGATCTAATCCATATTTAAAATATTCAGTAATAAAATCATTTACCCATATTTATGTATCATACTATACAAGTATTTTATTAGTTATATAAAAAAATATTGTATTAACATAGTATCAGTTTACTTACTTTCATTTACTGGACATGGATTAATACAATTTTCTCGACATACACCAGTTTTACTAAGTGGACAACTTAAAAGTATTAAACTTTCAACTGTATTACGACTTTTAGCATCACATCGTATACGAATTTGATTATCATTACTTATTAATTGTGTTAATTCAATATGATCATTATCAATATCTGATAAATGATAAGACGTAGTTATATATAACAATTTCATAAATATCCATATAAGATAAAATAAGGCTATCATAGGCCGAAGCATACATATGCCATTCAATACTTTCAAACCTAGAAAAAAATATAAATAAAGATAAGTAAATGTTAAATCATACATTTGTTAAAGCTTAAATTACTCATTTTCTTTGTTTTACTGATTAGTCAATATATAGAACTGATATAAATAATCGAACACATACTGTGGCGTGTGCTACTTAAGTTGACATAAGTAGTATATGATTTTAGTCGTGAACAGAATGTCTGGAAGCTAAGAGACAAGAAGACCAAACAGTAAAGAATGAAAACAGAATGTAATTGGTATGGAAATGCAAGAACAATGGAGTCTGAGTCAATCAAACCAGTAGGAGACAAAACCAAGACAAAAAGGTAAACAATGACAAATTTAAGGTCAATAAGAACCAATCAACATCGAGGTGCACAGAACAAACTGTGAAACGCATATGGAGAAATTCGAACACTTCACTTCTATCTGAAGTTTGTGCTGATGATGTCGTTCAGAAGAACGATGAAAGCTCAGAGAACAAAACTCCATCAAAATCATCCACCTGAGCTACAAATCTTCTCCACCATCTCAAATAAGCTATATTTCAGAGTTAACGCTTCAGCATTAATTAACCAGACTACGATAATGTAAATTGATATGTTGTTTTTGTATACGAAAGTGACGAATGAATTTGGAAGGTAGAAAAACTAAAGGCATGTCACTTCAATATTTAGAATTTTCACCGAAAAGTAATTTTTGACTGGGATTTAACTGACGCCTTGTTATGGATGTAAACAATAATGCCTAATTTATGATCTATCGCAAAAAGATACTTTGATTTCACAATCCACATGACTACTCCTTGACTATGAACAGTCTTTTGTCACAAATAACTATCAATAATCGAATTTATCTCGGTGTTGTTGCTTTGACAACTTTTGACTAGAGATTTTAACTACTGGTTGATATGGAGAACCAATCAGAAGTAGAATAAGGTCAATCGATGGCAAGTAGAAGTGACATTTTATTCAGTAGTCCAATACACTTTCTCTTCCACCCTTGTGTTCTCACTCAAGTAGTCAGTTGGGGGGGGGTTAGCGCGTAGCCTACCCTGTATTAGTATCAGATTTCCGACACCGCACGTTACAATAATGGCGACTATAGGATATATGGGGTATCGATAGGAGTGGAATTAAGGACGCACGTTTCGTTCTACATGGAGCTCGTCAGCTAGATGTGTCTTCGTTCCAAAGTTGATGCTCACTCCTGGACTTCCACTCAATACTGTTCGTTCCAAACACCCTCGCACTAACTACTTAGTTGCTCAGTCTTGATAGCAAGTCACTTGTGCAACAAGTTTAACTTTTAATTACATTTGCAATGGCTTGTATTATCTCATTGTTGATATTTTGACTGAAATTCAATCACAGCCGAAACACACGTCCTAGATTTCACTACTGGCTAAATTCCATTTCAATAATTTTCATCAGGTTCTGTAATTATCATATCCAAACTAATAATCCATAAAATTGGCCAAATTTATGGCAGAGTACATCATTTAAAATTGTGAATCAACGATTGTTGTTTGGGGCTGACTAATATGAAGTTGTTGACTTGAATAAGTGAAATGATCAGAATAAATAGGGTCAACATGGGGTGAGAGAGAGAATAATGTAATTACAAATCAGAAATTACGTAATATGTAGAATAATATAAATTAGGTCAGATATAGTAGATAGGGGTGGATGCTGAATAAAGTTCTCGAAAAGGTTATCAATTGTAATAATAATAGTAAGTTCGGGACACAAAAATGAACATTAGTCAAATTAGGTCACCATATTATAAAATTGATTATCATCTGGTTGGCCAGGGTAAAAGGAGCGGCTGGACATATTTCTTTTGAATACAAAGCTCTGGCATTTTGATCCGAATAGCAATTGCTTTGACCGTCTGCAGGATTATCAGTCTGACAGAATTAGGTAGACCGCTGTTAACACGATAGATTATTGTAAAAGATTGCTCCATGTTGGCTGTATGTCCCGTCTGAATTAAACGGGCTAACATAGGCTAAAATCTTATCCACACATCATAGCATTACCATTATTATTGTTACTAGTATATTACGTCTGCTAGTCTTTTTCAGAAATTCATTCAGGATCTAACCCTATCTACTATATCTGACCTAATTTATATTATAGAGGAAGAATGTATTTGTAAAATCTTAGCGAATGAATTTTAAGTAGATCCTTGAAAAAGCTTGAACCAGGTTGCCAGGTGAAACTTTGGATTTACTTCAAATTCATTAGCTGAGATTTAACAAATACAACATTCTTCCTCTTTAATGTCTCACATCAAATCGGTTCCCAAATACTATGAAACTAGACGAAATTCCTTATTTATTATTCTGTAATTCATATTATTCTACATATTACGTAATTTCTGTTTTGTAATTATATTATTCTCTCTCCCTCTCTCACCTCATGTTGATTATATTTATTCTGATCATTATTAATTTAACAATTTCATTTCACTCATAAACTGATTCAAGTTAACAACTTCATATTAGCAGATGACAACCAAAACAAAGAAGTAAACAATGACAGGTTTAAGGTCAACAAGAAGTACATGTGAATAAATTCGAACACTTCTACTTAAAATTTTTGCTGATGATGTCATTCAGAAGAACGTTGAAATCTCCACTACCAAATTATCCAGCTCAAACAGCAAAACTCCATCAAAATTATCCATCTAAGCTGCAAATCTTCTCCACCATCTCAATGGGAATTTTTTAGCAGTTCAATTCTATTTGTTCGATATTAATTTATGTCATAGTATCTATATCATGGCAACCTGCATAGGATACACTTATGTCAACCAAAACTAATGAAATTTCAGTCAAAATCTGATCATAATTTCTTACCATAAGTATCCCTTTTGTTTTTTTATTATTATTTTACTCTCACAGAGTACAAAAATAAAATGGTGATACACACATGAAAGAACTTCAATTTGTTTTGATTTAATGTGAAATAAAAGCACTTGGAAATAATATTTTTCTTTTCCGTCTGACTTATTTCATGCTTAGTGACAAATTGTCATATGAAGATTGCAAGTTATTATGATAACATTATACACTGTTGTATGATTCTAGAGATTAGATTATAGCAGATACGGTTGAACTCCACTGATAACGGCTTCTCACTAGAACTCCAGGAAATGCCTCTTGTAGTCAGTCACTGGTAAGCAGATGATAATTATGAGAAGGGGTTTTGTGGAGATTTTAGAAATTTCACTAGTTGAAATCATGAGTCAGTTAATGAGTTGGAAAACCATAATTCCAAACCAATGCTCCACATGGGCTCCAGTATCCTGAGGGGACAAATGGCGTATGAACCAATCGTTGGTCACCGGCTACCATGGGACTGCATCTCCTTACGATGCTCTACTGCCTTGTGAATCAGACCTTTAGGTTAAAGGCTCGGGGTGTGTCCCCCTAAGAAAACCACCTGTTTCGGTTTGAGCACCCTGGCAGTAACACAGCCCTCACACAAATCAAATGAGATTTGTGTGGCGCATATCTATTTGGTTCCCCTTTGTACCAATGTTTATGTGTTTGAATAAATAAATAAATAATAAGACGACCTTTGCACGACGCTAAAGTGACCTTGAGAATGTCCACCTACATACCACGACCAAATAAGGGTTACGAACCAGTATATGGAATTGGGATTAACATTTACAGTTGATGGTTAGGGTTAGCAATTCGATTTAGGGTTTTCATCACAAACCAATATGAACTAAATCGCCAAGACGCTATTAGGCCAAACTGTCGAATGAATTTCGCATCAAAATCCAAGGTCTGTTACCTTATATCTGATTGGTTCGTTCACAAATTGTAGTCTCGTCGTATTTCAATAAAAAGAAATAAATGTTCTCGTAGGAATTTATAAATCTTAATAGATTCTCTTCGCTTGCTGACAATGTTAACATAGTGATATCAACTATCGAAAGCAATGAATATATATTACATTGTATTCACAGAATATTCTCAATTAAGATTATGATCAATTGTAATGTATGAAATTGAAGTTAGAAATGTAAACCATTAAATGTCAACTAAGTTGTCTAAACTTTAACTGCTCATCTCAAAACCTGAATGTATTGGCTTTGATCGTATGTTGGTTGGTGGATTAGCCCTGCTAAACAACTCAATACTATGACAAAAAAGCTGTCCGGTGCTTCCTGGTTTTCAATGGTTGTGTAACTAATGTCACCTCATGATGTAAACTATAAAATGTAGGGAAATTTTAGGGAACATCCATAAAACTGTATACTAATTATATGGATAATATTAAACGTAGAACTTAAGCAATACATGAAGATAGAAGGTCTTAAGAATGTATTAGGGGTTAAGTATGGTTCTTCAAAAAAAAATACCGCTGACAATAAGAAGAATGTCAAGAACACTGACTAATTAGTATTATTCGAAAATTTCCCAAAAGCACATATGGAATGCAACCTATCATGTTTATTTGATTCTAACTAAACAATTACTTAATTCATCACTAATTTTATTAATTTTTCTTAGTTTGTAGAATCTCAAAAACATCAACATTCCAAAAAATACTCTAGTTATTAAACATACTTTCCACATTACCCGTCTACTGTTCATTGTTGAAGTCAGGATGATAATATCAATAAATCTTAGAGTAAAAGATGTACTGAATCCAGCAAAATGATACCGTACAGGGTTGGGGAGATTAATAATTATTGATTGAGAACATGAACCGACTGGTGTTAGACCACCATTGGAGACTTGAAAGCACTGAACGGACGTTTCGTCCTATTGTGGAACTCCTCAGCAGTGCGCATCCATGATCACGCCCGCGGGGTTCGAACCCAAGGACTTCAGTTTCGCGTATCAACGCGAGAGTGCTTCCAGGTCTCCAGCAGCGGTCTAACATCAATCGGTTCATGATCTCAATCAAAATGACACAGTAATTAATAGAATACTGCCCGAGAAAGTAAATAAGTTTGGCATTACGTAACCTATGATTTCTATTTTTCCTACCTAAAAACCGATCTTTATATAACTGTCAATTTTTTTCCTCCTAGAATGTTTGTATAATTAAATTGAAAATGATTAACCCAACGAACAGTTCTTATGATTCTTTTATATATATCACTTATTCACTTTCCTGTTCCATCGACATGTTTTTCGAATAGCTTCCGATAAATTTAACAAAAATTGTGTACACTTGGATATTTCTCGAATAATCACAAATAATAATAGTATGCAGATGTGAAGGTGCGGATCGACAAAGCAAGAGAAGCATATTTACAACTGAAGAACATCTGGAACTTAAAATAATTGGCAACCAACACCAAAGTCAGAATTGTCAATACAAATGTCAAGACAGTTCTACTGTATGGGGCCGAAACCTGGAGAACTACGAAAGCCATCATCCAAAAGATACAAGTGCTTATTAACAGCCGTCTACGCAAAATGCCTCGGATCCGTTGACCAGACACTATCAGCAACAACCTACTATGGGAGAGAACAAACCAGATTCCAGTAGAGGACGGAATCAGGAATAAGCATTGGATGTGGTTGGGATACACGTTGGGTAAAGCGTCGAACTGCATCACAAGGCGATCCCTCACATGAAGTCATCAAGGCCAAATGAGAAGAGGAAGATCAAAGAACATATTACGCCGGTAAATGGAGATAGACATCAGAAGAATGAACAAAAATTTGGGTAAAAGTGGAAAAGAAGGCCCTGGACAGAGTGGGTTGGAGAGTGCAGGTCGGGAGTAACAGGCGTAAGTAAGTAAGTAAGTAAGTAAGTAAGTAAGTAAGTAAGTAAGTAAGTAAGTAATAATAATAATAATAACATTAATAATAATAGACGACCTGTTTCAATATCTGTACAACCCGTTCTTGCCATCTAGATATTTCAACATGTTATATGTCTTTTGTTTATTTCAACAGATCATTATGTCAATTAATTGTACAACCTATTCAAATGCGTTTATGAAAAGTTCACGACCTTTCTCTGTACAACTTAGGAAAGTGCACAATCAGAAACATTGTAGTTGCTGGCAATATACATCGAAAAGAATGTACATTATTCAGATGCCGATTCCTGAAGTGCTAACATCTAACTGGCGACCATCCAATATTTATGGAAAGGGTCGATCAAGAAATAAGAAAAGGAAACTTGTTGAAGTACTTTGTGTTAAGAATTCTATATTGTACCAAAATATAATATTGAATTAAGCCACTAATAATAATAATAAATAAATTAATTAATTAACTAGTTTATTTTGGATACTGATATGATTTGTGGTTGATATTCATTACAGATTGACGTTAGTTAGGAGTATCATTGAAGTGATAATTAAATAGCTTTTAATAGTTTTAATATATAACTACTTAGTAATGTGCAATTACAATCTTGTCAGATATTCAATTCATCATCTTTTAAATACTTTCAAATTTTATTTAAAAAATATAAATTCGCTTTGATGATAGTTGAGATCACAAGTCAATTGAAGTTAGATCACTAGGGAAAACCTGAAATTATTAGATGACTGTTTCATTTTATTGTTGAACTCATGCATTGTGCATCCACGATTCCGTTCCCAGGTTTTCTATGATGGTCTAATTTCAATTGACTCCTAATCTCAGCTATTAAAATTACTACAATCTTATCAATATCCCTTCTGATAAAAATCCACTTTAATATTATTCTCAAAACTAATCTTAACAATACTATTCTAATCTTATTTATCTATTACTCCATTTACATTAATTCAGAATTTATTCTTTAGTGATTATTAATTTTATATTTCACATATTTCTATCGATCTATATCATGTGTCAAAGTGAATGAATTTTTTTTTATAAATCTCTGATGGTCTGATGATTGATTAATTGATTTGTTATTTTGAATAAATTATGAATTTTAACGTTTAGTAAATTCCAAATCATTTAAGGTGGTAGAGAAGATTTGTAACTGAGGCAATTGATTTTGTTGGAATTATGTTGTGTAATAACTAAGGAATGAATGATTTATGATTCTTCCAACTTTGTGTAAATATTGAATAAATATAAATACAGTAATAGGTTTAAATAAAGTATTAATGATAAGACTAATCAAAATCGTATAAAAATACTGTTATATTGTAAGTAAAAAAGAGGACCAGATTTGCTAAGATTTGAGAATTCCTAATTCATATCACTTACTATATTGTTAAACTGCGCCTGTAGCTCTTCTAGAATTACTGTCGGTCCCAAGCCCGAGTAAAGGAGGAGGGTTGAATATAGGGTTAGCGACCCAATCCCGTAGAAAACTAATTCGCTGAAAAAACACACTAACCAGTACTATATTGTTAGTTGGATTAGTGACTAATCTCACGAATTTGTACATTGTAGGAAGGATAACAACCAAAACCTTAATGTATATTGGTCCACAAGTCACTTTTTAACCCAGTGGCCAATCAAAAAATATTAATATGAAGATGATTGATTTCTTATTTTATCCAGTTCGTTGATAACTAACAACACATAATAATGTTCTGAAAATGTCTGACTATACAGTACGCTAAATAAGAAGCAAAACATTAAGCACAATCATACCATATGGGGTCGAGAGTGAAGCGAACAGAACATAATAACGAAAAGTATAATGTATAGCAATAGTTAATAAGTTCACTGGAAGCTTACAACACAATTATCTGCTAATTATAAAGAAAATAATCTTTAAACTGGACCCTTCAATATTCTTTCTGTTGTAATAAAAAGCCAATACATGCATACCTTCATGTTTAACCTTAAAAAACCAATTTCCAGACATATATCCTCAAATAGACTTGACTGTAATCTTCTTTCAACCTTTTTAAGCTGTCGTCGAGTCAGTACTTCCAAAATTTGCGTAATTACTGGTTTATATATATATTAGCATGTAAGGAAAACTTCTGATGCCTAATCATTCTAATTGATTAGTAGTTACAATTAGGTTCTTCAAATCTCTAATTGATGATTCATCATTGAAAAATGATTGACATCTCGTTATATAATGCTTAACCTCTTCAGGAAACATAAACATAAATGTATATCTAATGTAATATAACATAAGGTTTGCAAATTGAAATACCATCAAGGTGATAGAATGATTATGTATGATATTTTATATGTATTTGTTGTTTCCATTTGATCTTTCGGGAGATAAGTAAATGATTTATTATTTGAAAGCACTGAACGGCTGTTTCGTCCTATTGTGGGACCTTCAAATTTCATGAATAGACCTTATCCTTAACCACTTATCTGGTATCCAATGGATTACATCTTCAACTCTAGTCAATTCACAACATTGCCCAACTATCGACTAACGTTATTGATAAGTTAAAATTATTCATGATCTAGAAAGCAAGATAAATTATATGAAGGGTGTATACAATTTGAAAAAATATCTTAAGTCATACCCTGAACGTATCTGGTGAACAGTTCAAAAGCTTGACCTTCACTGATGATAATAATGAAAACAACAATCATATATTATTATACTTACAATTTTCATAGGTTCAAGTGTGAATGTACATACTGTATAAGATAAAACGTAAAGTAGCTTCAACGCACTTATATAGTCAGTCTTAAATCTTTTTTAAGTTCAATTTTTTTAGTGTTCATTCGGTTAGTTTCTTGTATTAACTTTCGTGCTGTTTTACTGTTTCATATGCAAATATTTCTATCAGAAGGGGTTTTTGTTGATATTTTAGTAATTTCAATAGTTGAGATCATGAGTCATTTGAAGCTAGACCACCATAGAAAACCTGAAAGCACTGAAAAGCCATTTCGTCGTATTGTGGGACTCCTCAGCAGTGTGGAGTTCTAGTGAGAAGCAGTGATTGAGATTGGTGTTCTGGACTTAACAGGTAAGCAGTGCTAGGCAGGAAGAAGAACCGATAAGGATTTCAGACTGCTCGTATGGGTTTATCCTTCATTGGTTCGATTAATAATTTACTGTTCTCTGATTGGCGGTATCATTACGTTATATATTAATAGGGCGCAAAGCCCATAACTTCTAACATTTTCGGTATCAAAGTATGTAATAGAATGACTGTTCAATATATAACTGTTCCCAGAAATAGTAAAATTTTATGATAACTGGTAGGAATCACAATGAATTGTTCACAATTTTACCGTAGTTTAAGAAGTGTGTAAGTATATATGCTCATCTACACATCTACATTGTCTATCTTGTCAGAACAGTTCGATTCAAACAATAGATTACAATTACATAATTCATTCCCTTTAATTCGTCTTAGGTAGATGAGTAGTTGTTATAATTTCTGGCCTTGTGCCCTATTAATATATAACGTAATGATACCGCCAATCAGAGAACAGTAAATTATTAATCGAACCAATGAAGGATAAACCCATACGAGCAGTCTGAAATCCTTATCGGTTCTTCTTCCTGCCTAGCACTGCTTACCTGTTAAGTCCAGAACACCAATCTCAGTCTCTGTGATATGAATCACGTATTTCATACATACTGGGTTTATATACAAACCAACCAGACCACATAGTACCACAAAATGGAAAACAACATTTGTACAAGATGTAATCAAATGTGTCTGTGAATGTAAGAGAGTGTAGTTAATAGACTGAGTATAATTCAAGAACGGTGAATCGTATAATAATGGTCTATAGATCAAGATAAATCCTATAATATGAGGAGCATGAATATATATAGTTTAGTTGCTTAACAATTATACAATAAAAGATATCTGTATCCTATTAGTCCATAATTAGATCCGAACAGTTACTATTGAAAATAATCTCCATAACTTTGTACTGATAATTAACATCTGCTCACTAGTGTCTACCTTCATGAGAGAATTCTCGGAGTTCTAGTGAGAAGCCGTAACCAGTGGAGCTAATCCGTGTCGGGTAGAGACAAGTATCCGCTTTAGTACAATGGAAGATGGTCCCGCAATTTGGTGGATTGGTTGAGATTAAACAATAACACCGTTGGTTGATGACTTGGAAGTCTAGAGGTTAAACGTTCACGCACAAAACCCAATGCCCTGGGTTTGAATCTCACGAGCAGGATCGTGAATGCTCACTGTTGAGGAGTCCCACAATAATACGAAACGTTCAACCAGTGCTTCCAGGTTTTCAGTGGTGGTCTAACATTAATTGGTTCATGATCTCAATCAAAAACTTAATAATCTCCACAATCCTATAGTGACAAAGTATCTCCATTGATACTTCTTACAAATGTACGCAAATTGTTTGATGTAGTTTTTTCACAACATTTTTTAGCAAGTTACACTTAAAATTGTAATCAATAATCTATCGATACCAAAAATTTTACAAATCAATACAATCAAAGTAAATATTTAAGTGAATATGCCTGTTTTTCTTTTTAATACTTCAATAATGAATGGATTCAATTGTATTGTATATGGTAACTAAGTTATATATCCAACATCCAAGTTAACATTCTAATGTTATAAATCTAATCTGATCAAAAATTAGATTAAGTTTATCAGATTATCCTTAAAACAAACAAACAATTAAATAAACAATAATCTTCAAAAAAAATATACATTAACGTAAAGTACTTCATCGAACAGAGACAACAGCAACAACAACAACGACGACAACAAGACGAAGAAGTAACTTACTTGAATCAAATAATCAAATAATATTCAAATATACAATATTACTATTATTAAATTCCATGAAATGAATATTCAACAAAATCCTGTATATTTAATTCTTTTTTAGTATCTTTATTCGTTTTAAATAAAAATTTTACATTTCCAAACTACTTTTCATTCAACAAAATCAATTCAGATATCATTTAGTAACTATTATTTATCAATCATATAGAATATAAAATAATTGATTTGGTGAAGAGAAGAAAAATAGCATGTTTACATAGTGTGTTTGCTTATAGTTTTGTAGTTGTTGTGTCGTTTAGAAAAAAATAAAACACACACAAACAAAATTAAATATTATACATGTTTATGTATAAATGTGCATAATATTTATTGACTTTCAAAACAAAAAGGGGTTTCGACAATTATGAGAAGACAAAAATTTGCAATTTTATCAAAAAATTGATTTGAAATAACTGTATTGAAGGAGGGAGGTAGTAATACGACATGGTTAATATGATTGAATGGGTGCAAGGTATGACAAAATACAGGAAATAAGAGCAGACAAGAAAATCAGAAACTCTGACATAAAAAAAAACATATATATAATAACAAACATACACTATTATTTTGAAAACAAATCTAAAAGGAGATAAAAACCGCGGCTACTATTTTTTATTCCTATTAATAAAACACGACTCTATGTAAGTAGGCAAGCAAATAAGAAACAACGAAAAAAGAAAGAAAAAAACTACCAAGTAACAATTCATTCCACTTGACCATGTCGATCGTGCTTTTCTACTAATCACTGTATTATTCAGTAGTATACGATGTATAGTAGTGGGAAAATTAATATACCATATAATCAGTATGTACAAGTTAGTTGGCTAGTTGTTTAATTCATAATGTGATTCAATAACATGTTGGTGATAATTAATTAAGATTAGTATGATCGAGAGCAATAGTGGTCTGTGTGTGCCTGTCAATGGTTTGCAAATGGTGTACTGAGAATAATGATTAACGTATTGACCGGGTAACTGAGAGTTAGTTGTGACAGTTGAGATCGTACTTCTAGGGATCAGTCCTATAGTACGTATCACCAGGACGTCAAACAAACTTGACCCTGGCCAACCAACCGCGATGATGAACAGTGCGGCCTGGTCCTGAGCGTGAAGCGGGTGTGTGGCTGTCCGTCTGGCTGGCTTCTCATGAAGTCTGTACGTGCGGACTCGGCCGCCTCCTTGTCCGATCGTCCAGCCGAATTGAGGAGTGCCTGCGAAAGCCTAGCAATTCCCATTCGGTGTGGAGGAACTGGCCTGTGCTGAGCGGCTACTATTTTTTATTCCTATTAATAAAACACGACTCTATGTAAGTAGGCAAGCAAATAAGAAACAACGAAAAAAGAAAGAAAAAAACTACCAAGTAACAATTCATTCCACTTGACCATGTCGATCGTGCTTTTCTACTAATCACTGTATTATTCAGTAGTATACGATGTATAGTAGTGGGAAAATTAATATACCATATAATCAGTATGTACAAGTTAGTTGGCTAGTTGTTTAATTCATAATGTGATTCAATAACATGTTGGTAATAATTAATTAAGATTAGTATGATCGAGAGCAATAGTGGTCTGTGTGTGCCTGTCAATGGTTTGCAAATGGTGTACTGAGAATAATGATTAACGTATTGACCGGGTAACTGAGAGTTAGTTGTGACAGTTGAGATCGTACTTCTAGGGATCAGTCCTATAGTACGTATCACCAGGACGTCAAACAAACTTGACCCTGGCCAACCAACCGCGATGATGAACAGTGCGGCCTGGTCCTGAGCGTGAAGCGGGTGTGTGGCTGTCCGTCTGGCTGGCTTCTCATGAAGTCTGTACGTGCGGACTCGGCCGCCTCCTTGTCCGATCGTCCAGCCGAATTGAGGAGTGCCTGCGAAAGCCTAGCAATTCCCATTCGGTGTGGAGGAACTGGCCTGTGCTGAGCGGCTACTATTTTTTATTCCTATTAATAAAACACGACTCTATGTAAGTAGGCAAGCAAATAAGAAACAACGAAAAAAGAAAGAAAAAAACTACCAAGTAACAATTCATTCCACTTGACCATGTCGATCGTGCTTTTCTACTAATCACTGTATTATTCAGTAGTATACGATGTATAGTAGTGGGAAAATTAATATACCATATAATCAGTATGTACAAGTTAGTTGGCTAGTTGTTTAATTCATAATGTGATTCAATAACATGTTGGTGATAATTAATTAAGATTAGTATGATCGAGAGCAATAGTGGTCTGTGTGTGCCTGTCAATGGTTTGCAAATGGTGTACTGAGAATAATGATTAACGTATTGACCGGGTAACTGAGAGTTAGTTGTGACAGTTGAGATCGTACTTCTAGGGATCAGTCCTATAGTACGTATCACCAGGACGTCAAACAAACTTGACCCTGGCCAACCAACCGCGATGATGAACAGTGCGGCCTGGTCCTGAGCGTGAAGCGGGTGTGTGGCTGTCCGTCTGGCTGGCTTCTCATGAAGTCTGTACGTGCGGACTCGGCCGCCTCCTTGTCCGATCGTCCAGCCGAATTGAGGAGTGCCTGCGAAAGCCTAGCAATTCCCATTCGGTGTGGAGGAACTGGCCTGTGCTGAGCGGCTACTATTTTTTATTCCTATTAATAAAACACGACTCTATGTAAGTAGGCAAGCAAATAAGAAACAACGAAAAAAGAAAGAAAAAAACTACCAAGTAACAATTCATTCCACTTGACCATGTCGATCGTGCTTTTCTACTAATCACTGTATTATTCAGTAGTATACGATGTATAGTAGTGGGAAAATTAATATACCATATAATCAGTATGTACAAGTTAGTTGGCTAGTTGTTTAATTCATAATGTGATTCAATAACATGTTGGTGATAATTAATTAAGATTAGTATGATCGAGAGCAATAGTGGTCTGTGTGTGCCTGTCAATGGTTTGCAAATGGTGTACTGAGAATAATGATTAACGTATTGACCGGGTAACTGAGAGTTAGTTGTGACAGTTGAGATCGTACTTCTAGGGATCAGTCCTATAGTACGTATCACCAGGACGTCAAACAAACTTGACCCTGGCCAACCAACCGCGATGATGAACAGTGCGGCCTGGTCCTGAGCGTGAAGCGGGTGTGTGGCTGTCCGTCTGGCTGGCTTCTCATGAAGTCTGTACGTGCGGACTCGGCCGCCTCCTTGTCCGATCGTCCAGCCGAATTGAGGAGTGCCTGCGAAAGCCTAGCAATTCCCATTCGGTGTGGAGGAACTGGCCTGTGCTGAGCGGCTACTATTTTTTATTCCTATTAATAAAACACGACTCTATGTAAGTAGGCAAGCAAATAAGAAACAACGAAAAAAGAAAGAAAAAAACTACCAAGTAACAATTCATTCCACTTGACCATGTCGATCGTGCTTTTCTACTAATCACTGTATTATTCAGTAGTATACGATGTATAGTAGTGGGAAAATTAATATACCATATAATCAGTATGTACAAGTTAGTTGGCTAGTTGTTTAATTCATAATGTGATTCAATAACATGTTGGTGATAATTAATTAAGATTAGTATGATCGAGAGCAATAGTGGTCTGTGTGTGCCTGTCAATGGTTTGCAAATGGTGTACTGAGAATAATGATTAACGTATTGACCGGGTAACTGAGAGTTAGTTGTGACAGTTGAGATCGTACTTCTAGGGATCAGTCCTATAGTACGTATCACCAGGACGTCAAACAAACTTGACCCTGGCCAACCAACCGCGATGATGAACAGTGCGGCCTGGTCCTGAGCGTGAAGCGGGTGTGTGGCTGTCCGTCTGGCTGGCTTCTCATGAAGTCTGTACGTGCGGACTCGGCCGCCTCCTTGTCCGATCGTCCAGCCGAATTGAGGAGTGCCTGCGAAAGCCTAGCAATTCCCATTCGGTGTGGAGGAACTGGCCTGTGCTGAGCGGCTACTATTTTTTATTCCTATTAATAAAACACGACTCTATGTAAGTAGGCAAGCAAATAAGAAACAACGAAAAAAGAAAGAAAAAAACTACCAAGTAACAATTCATTCCACTTGACCATGTCGATCGTGCTTTTCTACTAATCACTGTATTATTCAGTAGTATACGATGTATAGTAGTGGGAAAATTAATATACCATATAATCAGTATGTACAAGTTAGTTGGCTAGTTGTTTAATTCATAATGTGATTCAATAACATGTTGGTGATAATTAATTAAGATTAGTATGATCGAGAGCAATAGTGGTCTGTGTGTGCCTGTCAATGGTTTGCAAATGGTGTACTGAGAATAATGATTAACGTATTGACCGGGTAACTGAGAGTTAGTTGTGACAGTTGAGATCGTACTTCTAGGGATCAGTCCTATAGTACGTATCACCAGGACGTCAAACAAACTTGACCCTGGCCAACCAACCGCGATGATGAACAGTGCGGCCTGGTCCTGAGCGTGAAGCGGGTGTGTGGCTGTCCGTCTGGCTGGCTTCTCATGAAGTCTGTACGTGCGGACTCGGCCGCCTCCTTGTCCGATCGTCCAGCCGAATTGAGGAGTGCCTGCGAAAGCCTAGCAATTCCCATTCGGTGTGGAGGAACTGGCCTGTGCTGAGCGGCTACTATTTTTTATTCCTATTAATAAAACACGACTCTATGTAAGTAGGCAAGCAAATAAGAAACAACGAAAAAAGAAAGAAAAAAACTACCAAGTAACAATTCATTCCACTTGACCATGTCGATCGTGCTTTTCTACTAATCACTGTATTATTCAGTAGTATACGATGTATAGTAGTGGGAAAATTAATATACCATATAATCAGTATGTACAAGTTAGTTGGCTAGTTGTTTAATTCATAATGTGATTCAATAACATGTTGGTGATAATTAATTAAGATTAGTATGATCGAGAGCAATAGTGGTCTGTGTGTGCCTGTCAATGGTTTGCAAATGGTGTACTGAGAATAATGATTAACGTATTGACCGGGTAACTGAGAGTTAGTTGTGACAGTTGAGATCGTACTTCTAGGGATCAGTCCTATAGTACGTATCACCAGGACGTCAAACAAACTTGACCCTGGCCAACCAACCGCGATGATGAACAGTGCGGCCTGGTCCTGAGCGTGAAGCGGGTGTGTGGCTGTCCGTCTGGCTGGCTTCTCATGAAGTCTGTACGTGCGGACTCGGCCGCCTCCTTGTCCGATCGTCCAGCCGAATTGAGGAGTGCCTGCGAAAGCCTAGCAATTCCCATTCGGTGTGGAGGAACTGGCCTGTGCTGAGCGGCTACTATTTTTTATTCCTATTAATAAAACACGACTCTATGTAAGTAGGCAAGCAAATAAGAAACAACGAAAAAAGAAAGAAAAAAACTACCAAGTAACAATTCATTCCACTTGACCATGTCGATCGTGCTTTTCTACTAATCACTGTATTATTCAGTAGTATACGATGTATAGTAGTGGGAAAATTAATATACCATATAATCAGTATGTACAAGTTAGTTGGCTAGTTGTTTAATTCATAATGTGATTCAATAACATGTTGGTGATAATTAATTAAGATTAGTATGATCGAGAGCAATAGTGGTCTGTGTGTGCCTGTCAATGGTTTGCAAATGGTGTACTGAGAATAATGATTAACGTATTGACCGGGTAACTGAGAGTTAGTTGTGACAGTTGAGATCGTACTTCTAGGGATCAGTCCTATAGTACGTATCACCAGGACGTCAAACAAACTTGACCCTGGCCAACCAACCGCGATGATGAACAGTGCGGCCTGGTCCTGAGCGTGAAGCGGGTGTGTGGCTGTCCGTCTGGCTGGCTTCTCATGAAGTCTGTACGTGCGGACTCGGCCGCCTCCTTGTCCGATCGTCCAGCCGAATTGAGGAGTGCCTGCGAAAGCCTAGCAATTCCCATTCGGTGTGGAGGAACTGGCCTGTGCTGAGCGGCTACTATTTTTTATTCCTATTAATAAAACACGACTCTATGTAAGTAGGCAAGCAAATAAGAAACAACGAAAAAAGAAAGAAAAAAACTACCAAGTAACAATTCATTCCACTTGACCATGTCGATCGTGCTTTTCTACTAATCACTGTATTATTCAGTAGTATACGATGTATAGTAGTGGGAAAATTAATATACCATATAATCAGTATGTACAAGTTAGTTGGCTAGTTGTTTAATTCATAATGTGATTCAATAACATGTTGGTGATAATTAATTAAGATTAGTATGATCGAGAGCAATAGTGGTCTGTGTGTGCCTGTCAATGGTTTGCAAATGGTGTACTGAGAATAATGATTAACGTATTGACCGGGTAACTGAGAGTTAGTTGTGACAGTTGAGATCGTACTTCTAGGGATCAGTCCTATAGTACGTATCACCAGGACGTCAAACAAACTTGACCCTGGCCAACCAACCGCGATGATGAACAGTGCGGCCTGGTCCTGAGCGTGAAGCGGGTGTGTGGCTGTCCGTCTG